GCCCGGGGGCCGCCCGGGGCGCCGCTCCGCATGCTCCGCGCCCGCCCGCCGCTCCCTCGCTCGCTTCTTGCTCGCTCTCCCTCCCGTCTAGCTCGCTTGCTGCTTTTTTAATAATATTATTCTAAGCGGGCATGAGGCGCGGCGGCCCGCGCCCTGATTGGTCTGGTTATCTGACCCGGGGCCTGCCCGCGCCAGACAATAGTCGGAGTCAAATTATTCGCCATGGAGACGCTGTCAGTCACTGGTAACCCGAGCCCCGGCGGGTCGGGCGGCTCCCCCCGGCCGGCTCCGCTGACAGATCGCCCGGCTCCGCGCAAAGCGGAGGGCGGCCCGAGACGGGAGCGGGAGGCGCTCCAAGAACCTGGGAGGCGGAGAGGACCGGGCGGGGGCCGTCGGCGGTGGTGATTGACGGGGCGGACGCCCATAGAGCAAGGGAGGGGACGGACACGGGAGCGGGGGGCGGGGTGGAGACGCCCGGAGAAGAAAAGGGGAGGATCGAGGTGGGGAGGAAAGAGGGGAGAGGAGAAGGCGGGGAACTGCTTAAGGGGGTGCTGGGAGGAAGAGGAGGGAGAAGGGTGGAGGGTACCTCGAGGGGGAAGAAACAGCTTTCTCGAGGCCCCCCTGGGTGCCCTACCCCCACTCCGGGTCTTCAGCGCCCTCCCGGGTCTGCAGTTTTTGGGATAAATTCTGCCCAGGAGCGGTCCAGTGGGATGGGAGAGTTTGGAAGTGCTTGGGCGCCTCTCAAAGATTTGGCTTTTCCTGCGGACAGCGCCCCGCCCCCATCCTAGGAACTCTGGACCTGGGCGGTCTTCGAGGGAAAGGGGGAGGGAGTAGGAGACAGAAGTGGAGAAGATTTGGCAGTGGCCGCAGGCGGACGCCTGAGAACACAACTTCGTGGAGGATCCCGCCTTTCCTCTCTGTTCTAACCCGGCCGGCTGCCCCGAGGTCGGTACCGCCCCAGCCCGGCACTCTCGGCTCTTCGCCGGGCGGGGACTCACACTTAACCCCACGGGTTCCACGGCCCGGGAAACGCCAGGCACTAACTTGGGGCCTCTAGGGAAATTGACTTCTGTCTGCTGCGCCGGCAGTCGGCCCACGGGGAGGCGAGGGCAGAGTCTAGGACGCCCGTGGCGCTTCCCCCGTGGGTGGTCCGGGAGGACAGAGTGGGCGCAAGAACCATCCCGCCCTCTGGCCTCTGAGCTCGGACTTGGCTCCGGGCACTTCCAGCCTGGGAACCAGATCACTGAGCTCCGGAATAAGGGTCTTAAAAAGGGGATCCTGGTTTGTTTGTGTCTTTGTAAGGGCGCGTTTGGAAACACGTGGTGCTGGTTCTCTGGGAGGAGGGCATGGAGAGTAGGTGGAAAATCTGGAGGGGGGAGGGTTGTTGCTGCTGTTTCTACGGTTTTGAAAAGCCCGGGGCTTAGCTTCTTCCCGGACTGGTCCTTTCCACTTCCGTTTCCTGTCTTTGCTCTGAGCTGTTGGAGGCTGGAGTCAACCTTGCTTCTAGTTCCAGGACCCAAGCCAGCACAGAGCCTGGGCTCTGCCCTCAGCTTAGAACTGTGGAACCTGTGTCTAGGCCACATTTCTTTTTCCCCCATCCTTTTTAATTTTCTCCGGAGGTTGTGCTAGGAGCACTGGATGGGTGTCCAGAACCTTGGGTTCAAGTTTTTGCTTTGCTTGGTGTCTATGAGAAAAGTCTGTGTTTGTTTCTCTAAGTGTTCATCTCCTTAGCAAGATTTACAAAAGTTTCCCCCTGCTCTAGCATTCTAAGAAGTCCTCTGGGGGAGTTGCGGGCATGAAAGAGTGGAACCCTGGGACTCACCCTAAGACTTGCTTTTGGACTTGCCCCGTGTGTGTTGAGACCAGGGCTGTCAAAGTAGGATCCAAGCCAGTGCCAGGGACAGCTCCCTGTAGAAATGCAGGTGGCATCTTCAGAGTCTCTGTCAGTTGGCTGGGAGGAACCCTGCTGCCTCCAGGCCACTCTATCCAGAGTCCTGTGTGCTGCCCAGGGTTCACACAATAGTCAGTCTTAGAGGTCTCTGGGAGACATGGGGAAGTATTTGTCCCTGGCTGCACTAATGTTCAGAGTCTTCCTTACTGACTCCCAAGAATGGGCAACCTACTCTTTTCAAGACCTCATCTTTAGCCACATGGTTAATGACAGCAGGCTGGTCCCAGCTCTCACCATGGCCATCTTACATCTTGGCAAGGTCAGGCTGGGCCGTGGGGGAGCCCTGACACCACTCACTGGTGTCAGTGAGTGGGCCTGGGCAGTAGCTTCCTGGTGTAAGACTGGGCCAGCTTATGGTCTGCTCCACTTCACTTTCTCCCACTATTAGATGAGGCTTGTGTGATCTTTTGCGTCCCTGCTGATTCTGGGCTGGGCTGGCTCTGAGAATCCTCACCTTGAAAAGGCAGGTGACCTTTGCAACCTCAGCCACAGTTTCCACCATGAATATACCCCTCCCTGAACTCTTGGAGCTTCAAGATTGAACTTCCCCCAGAATTGGGCCCGGCCCTGTTCAGCTAAGGCACATTTTCGGGAACTTCAGACTCCCTGTTCTTTCCAGCTTTGCCCTTTTTGGGGCCCCCGGCTGCCAAGCCCAAGAGTCACCCATGCCAAGAGAACAGCCGTGGACCTGGATAATATCATGTGTGCCATGTGAAAAGTCATCACAGAGTAAGCACAGAAAACGTGGAACACCATTACCCAATGTATGGGTGTATGAGCATATGCGACCAGCTCTCCCCTTCCTCCCATATTTGTAGGAAACTGACTCTAGCAGGTCTGGGCTAGAACCTCTTGTTAGCCAGGACAGCTGAGTGCCTGCCCTAAAAAGGTTACAAGCTCAGCTAGGCTCTTCACAGTCTGAAGCCCCCTCCCTGCCTAGCCCCTTTCTTGGCAGTCTTTGCCACAGGACAGAGCACATGGGAGGTATCTGGGTGAGGATTTGATAAATGCCAGCATGACTTTAAGGCGATCTCAGCCCCAGGTTGCGGTGCTCGAGGCAGCTGTTGGAGAAGCCTTGGTTCTAACCCACCCCAATCTACCCAATCCCACATTCCTCCCTTCCCTAAGACATACTGGGGAGACCTGCACTTGCCATTTCAGTAAGCACAAATAGGAGAGGCTCCATGGCTGGGAAGGGGAAAACTTTTGTAGATTGGTGGAAATTTGGGATTCACTAAAATGTCTCCTTTCCCCTCTAAGGTGTGCTGAAAATCCCCTGGGATCACGCTTTCTGGAAGGCTGCAGCACAGGTGGATGGGTGTGTTCCAATGAGCTCACACTGACAGAATGCCTTTGCCCCTGACTCTTGGTCAGGGACAGCCTGGGGCCTTTGTGTCTGGAGCTGGGCAGGGAGCTCCCCAGAGCAAGGCCCCAGGGCCCCACAGATGGCACCCCTTGCCCAGCCCAGCGCTAGCACATTGCCCACTAGCAGAACTTTTGGGGAAGGGAGAAAGTAGCCTCGCCAGCCCCCCAAGGGCTTCCCTGACTTTGGGTCGAGGCCATTTGGGAAAGAAGGAGACGATCTAAGGAGGGGCTGCTTACAGGCTATTTCTAACACCAGCAGAGGAGGGGGCGAGGGTGGGGGGGGGGGCTCGGTGCCAAAGCAGAAGACTAGAACCACCCCCCTTTTTTTTTAATCTTTATAATATTTTCCAGGCTTTGAAGGCTGCAGAAATCCCCTGGGCATAAGACTATGGCCCTGGCACCGCCCCCCTCGGACCCTCCCCCCAGCTCGCACCAGGCTGGGTTCTGGGGCGTCGCCGTCGGGGGTGGGGGCGGTGTTGTGGGTAGTGGGGGCAGCCGGCGTCCGCGATCTCAGAGCCCTCTGTTCCCGCAGCACGCTCGCTCAGACCTGGCCTCCCGCTCCCGCCTGGGCTGCGGCGCGTTTCCGCGTTTCGTTGCAAGCGGACGAGCGGCGCAGGGCGGGTGTGCGCTGAAGCTCGGGGCGCCTCCCTGCCGCGGGGCCCTGGGCCCACTTAGGTTGCATGGCCGCCCGGCGGCCCAGAGGACAAGAGGGGTATTTGCAAAATCCCGCACCCCACGGTTTTCTGTGTTGCCCAACGTTTGGGGGCAGTCAAGGCGCAGGCATTCCGCTCACATAAATCTCCATTTCAGAAAGTGGTCTCCACGGCACCCCAACCCCGGGCAAGGTTTCAGGCACTGGGCTCCGGGCGGCAGGCCTCTGGAAACGGCGCGACTCGGGCCGTCGCCTGCGCCGCACGTGCCTGGCACGGTCACAGGCCCCCAAGGGCCGGAGTAGGGGGGTCCCTCTTTGGGCCGGACCCACGGGGCGGCCTAGAAGGCCCTCCCGAGACAACGGTTTGGAGGTCGCGGGCTCACAGGGGTTCTTGTTCAAACGAAAAGAGAGAGAACTAGGGCTCGGGCCCGTTTGGAGGCCGCCAAACCGGTGACTCGGCCGGAGGAGGCGCCGGGACCGGGCGAGACCAAGTGGGACCTGAGGCGGGTACCCAGGCCCCGGGCGCTGCCCACCCTCCGACGACGCCCACCCTCGCTCGCGCGGCCTTCTGTCCCCGCCCGCGGTCACGGTCAGGGCTGGGAGTCCCTTCGTGCCTGCGCCACGCTCCCTCCCGGGCTGGCAGGGGACGCCGGGCCCCTTCGCCTAGAGAGAGGTTGGGGCGCGGGCACGGCGGGCCGGGCATCCGGTGAGGCGGCCAGGCTCTCGGCTTTGGGTTCAGGAAGCCGCCTATGTCCGCCGCCCGGTTTTTGTTTTTGTTTTTTGTTGTTTTTTCT